CGAGGGGGGCTTCCTGTAGGAGGGGTCTGACTTTCTGGGTGAGCAGCAGCCCTGCTCTGGGCCTTGGCCCCCTCCACTGTGAACCAAGGACAGGGATGGGACCCTGGGCATGGGCTCCAGTGAGGTGCAGAGGTCAGTGCTGGGTGCTCGGTGAGCGAGGCTGGCACAGGGACGGGGGGACCCTGAGGTTGTCACCACACATGCCAACCTCTTTCCAGGCTGCTCAGTAGCTCGGGCTTCCATCCGCTTGCGCCCTGAGCCCTGCGGGGCAGCACCACCCCCGAGGCTCTGTGAGGGAGCGGCTGCCTGGTCTCCCGAGCTGGGTGGGGCCCTCACGTCCACCGGCGCAGTGACAGCAATGTGGCACGCTGGACACCAGCAGGGAGCTGCACTGCGGGCTCCAGGCTGGCCCAGGCCACAGGAGACCTTGACCCTGAGACCCAGGTCCAGCTCAGTCCGGGTCTTGGTGAATCACCCGGGAGAAATGGCCCCCACCCTCACCCCACCTGACGTGACACCAGCCAGGAGTGGGTCCCCTGCCCTGCAGTTAAAGGTCCCCTGAGGTTGTAAATGCCACGGGGTACGTGTCACTCTGCAAACACCCGGGCCCCACCTGCCTTGGCCCCGGAAGCCCCGATTGAGGGGCCCAGGCTGCAGGGAGTCTGGGGGCCGCAGGTCTGGGGTCGGATGTGAGCTGGGCGTGTGTGCCCCATGGTCTCTCTTACCTGCTGTGTGCCCCTCTGGGCGGGCCCCCAAGGCGGCCCGGGGCTGAGTGTCGCCAGCCAACAGTCTCCTCCAGGGGGAACGTTTGGGCGTGGCTCAGCCTGCTTGCTGGGCCAGGGCTCTGGGCTCCATACTGTTTCCAGAAGTTTTTGTCTTAGGGTACATGTGCTTGCCAGAGGGAGAGATAGTGAGAGGGAGAGGGAGAAATCCCCCCGGCGGGTGGCTGTGCCACGGTCCCTTCTCCTCCTGGGATCTTGGACGGTGTGGGACTTGAACCACGGTTGGCCATGTGGGAACCCAGGGCACAGCCGCAACCCCATCTGCTGACCCCTGTGACTGTTTTTGGTAGCGTTTCCTGCACCACTCTCCATATTTGGTGGCACGTGGCCCGACTGACGGCGTGAGCAGGTTGGGATGCTGCATCCCCAGGCTGGCCGATGGGCCAGCAGGGCGGGTGTGAGGACAGCCCTGGTCAGCCGTCTGGGGACTGAAGCTCAGGCTCAGAGTCCAGTGTCCGGCCGGCCTGTCTCACTCAACTGGGCAAGGTGGCCCCAACCCCCCTGTGCAGGGTGAAGGACCTGGCGGGCAGGCTCTGAGGAATGCCAGTCTGGGGCTCCCTGGAGGAGGTGTCCTGTGGGGAGCAGAGGACTGCAGGTGGCCGCAGAACAGGACGGGGTCTGGTGGAGGCGGGGGCAGAGCTCATAGTTTGCCGGGCCGTGGTGCCCTCCAGCGTCCAGGGCTGTGCAGGGGCACAGGAGTGTGGGAGCAGCGGAGAGACCTTCGAGAGGCCTTGCGGACGGGTGGGGAACCGGGGCCCTGGGGTGCGGGTTGGGGTGTCACCGGAAGCCCCAGCCCCGCCCTCCAGAGCAGCAGGACAAGGTCCAGGGCTTTCCCCAGCACACCTGGCTTTATGGCCGCGGGGAGGGCAGGGAGGCCCGCTGGCGGGGCAGGGCACAGAACCGGGTGTGGGCGCCAGGACCGCGGTCTGCCCCTCGGGGCCTCGCTGACGCCCTCGGAAGGCAGACCCACTGCGCGTGCGTTCTGGGGCAGTGAGGCCCGCGCTGGACGGCGGCCGCGGTGGGGACAGTGGGCCGGGCCACGCGGCTGGGTGAGGGTCAGCCAGGCCACGGGCCTTGGACAGGACTGGCCTGGTGCTCCTCGGCCGCCGACGTCGGACACGGCGAGGGAGGCTCGTGGGGACCCAGCGGGGTCAGGACGCCCTGCCGGTCGGGGCTGCTCCTGCGCTCGCCCAGCCCCTCCAGCCCAGCAGCGTCTGCCCCGACAGAGGGAGGCGGGTCTGAGTGGCCGGCCTCGACTTACCACCCCTGAGCCAATCAGAGGCCAGAGGCGGCATGCTCTCATTGGCTAGCCTGGATTCCCCCATCCC